TTTTTTTTTTGTTTCAGTGGTCTCACAATCAAGAAAAAGAGAAGTTTTGGGTGATGTAAGTACTTAATGACTGCTTGTTAGGTTTAGTTGACAGGTACAAGGACTTCGTTGAATGCAAAATTACGGATGGAAAAACTTGGGAAGAGCGAACAGCCCAATGTATATGGGATAAGATAACCAGAGAGTTCAATGCCTGCGGTTTCAGTGGACTCAGAACGTCAAGCTGCTCACAGAATAAATGGAACATACTCAAGGGGCAAACAAGGACGGCATTGAGTGCTGAAAGGAAAACAGTGAAAGCTACGGTCGGTGGGGAGTACAGAGCAATACGAATGACTCCTCAGTTGTAAATAGTTGCAAGGATTTGTGCTGAAGAGTCTATGACAGGAGAGCTAACCTGACCTAACAGAACATCGAATGTGGAAATAAAGTGAGGTTATGTTGTTGTTGTTGTTGTTGTTGTTGTTGTTAAAAGGGTCTCAACCTCAAGTTGAAGACTCGACAGCCAGAAAAAGTAGCAGTTGCCAGTACGCGGCTGAAGCTGTCAGTCTATGCCTTGCCTGTTCACGTAGTAATTAAGTTAGGAAATATATTTATGATTTAATTGTTGGCAAACGCCTCAGAAGGTCCCGTTTCTCCTTGGAACAATGTGCCAAGTGTGCTATGCCATATAACAATAACGATGATGATTTACAGATATGGATATGCTGCAGCAGTTGTGAAAAATGGTTTCATGAATCTTGTACAGATCATAATTTTACCGATGAAGGGAAGCTATTCGTTTGTTCCAAATCAGACATAAATAAAATCTACCTTGATTGGGATTGAGAATCTACATCAAATAGTTCAAACCCTAACACCGAATTCTAGGTGGCGGTAGCCACCCCGGCCCAATCCTAAAAAACTCCCCCTAAAAAATTACGACAAAAGAAAAAAAAAAAAAAGACGGGTGGCTGCTGCCTAACTAGTTATACACGAAACAACGCGACCGGGCTTTTCTGCACGGTTTGCGGCCCATTTAGCTCTCCTGCTAATTAAGTCGTAGAGTAAAGCCCAAAAACCCTATAGTATTTGGGTAGAAGATGCTCAGCTCTACTCGTAATGCCCACCCTTTTTGAGTTTAGTTGAATATTAAAAAAGTTATTAAGCTTTAACGACAAATTTTGGACCCCAAAACATGACGATGATGGAATTGACCAATCGCTAGGCAGAAGAGCAGATTCGGGGCAGATTCGAGGCCCGCGAAACGCCGGAGTGCCCGTTGAGACTTTGCAATCGACCTACAGCTATAACCGTAAAAGAAACCCCTATAAAACTGTAGATATTTTGAAACTACTATTAATGATCCCAATACATATCGCTGCAAATTTGAAATAAATGAGACATAAGGGAGAACGATTGATAATTATGTCGGTTTATTGACGTTCGATAGTCAACCTGTAGTCACGGCTGTGGAGGTAAGGGTAGCATAAAACCCATCAAACTGGGTATAATTAGAATCTGTAAACTCCAAGGATCAAACCTTTGAAAAGTTTTCGGACATATATGGACGTCGAAAGGAGAAATAATCGAAAGAAGGAGCAGGTCCTTCAATTTTTCAAACACATTTGATTTGAATTTGAAAACAACTTGTAGAACCGCGCGATGGATGGTGAGCGCCAACTCCAGAAGCTAAATTTCTTATATAAAATAAGCTGTTACTGACGCCAACTGAACAGAATATTCATTTTTTGGCATAATTTACAAATATATTTGTATAAAAAGTTTTTTTTCCCCTTTAATTAGGTATTTTTACTTTTGTCCGCTTTGTCACGCTAGCATTAGTAATCTTTGGTTTTTGGTCAGCATCTGTGTTCTAGTTGAGGTTATGTTTACGTTTACGTTTTTCAAAAAAAAAGTCGTCATTTCGGGATTTCGTCATTTCAGTGCCTCATCTTGTGATTAATTGAGTGAATGAAAACCTTAAAACTCGGATTTTTCTTTGCGCGGCGTATTTACCCTCCTTATTAAGTTTGAAAAAACATTTTAAATTTGTTTTCGAACTTTTTTAGTTTTATCTTGTGTGATAGTAGGCTTTTACCTATAACAGCACATCATCTCTATTTTTTCCTAACTTTATCGTTAAGTTAAGTGTAAGTAATAAACCAATTGCCAGCTTTGTACTTTGTTTAAATTTAAATATCTCATTATGTACGTACAACATAGAGGACATATCAGTCCGATAGGAAACTAACAATTTGGGCGGCAACGCACAACCTCGCAGACAATGACTCATAGTAAATATGTAGAACTCGTACCAGCTAACCTCGGACTGGGACATATGCGCCGAGGACCCGCTTTCTCGACTGTGTGTATTTCCCAGTCCGAGGTTAGCTGGTACGAGTTCTAGTGGACTTTGTTCCGGATAACCAGGAAACTGGCAGAAAGTAGAGTACGTAGAAAGGGATTCCTTTGCCACATACAACACAGAGAGAGGAAATGTAGGGGCAAAAGACGTATTTTATTTGCGTCAACAGAAACACTTGTTGGCGGGCGTAGTAAAGTAGTTAAAAGTAGTTCAGTTGAAACTCCCAGCAATGAGCTCCCGAGCACGGTGCTGAGCATGTTTAAGTAGTGATACCATAGTAAATCTTTAGGAATTACTATAATTTTAGTTCCACATTTAATTTCAAAGGCTTCTTGGATAAAGTCCGTAAACTTCGTTATCACCAATTGGTGACAACGACCGCTTCGTTGACGAAATAAAATATGTCTATTATTGTATAAAGTGTCATGCAGTTGTTTCAGGGTGGCAAGTGTCAGGGAAAACCTAGAAAAGTTAGGGAATTTTGAAAAACCTGGAAAGTCAGGGAAAAGTCAGGATATTTTGCCAATTTTGGCAGAAAAGTCAGGAAAATTTTCTCTCGGTCATCAATGCGTGTATTTCATTTAAAGTAGACCCTTTCAGCTTTTTCTTCTGCATCTGCGCTACACATGAGGCATGACTTCAGCCGATTATTGCTTGGTTCCTAAATTGATGTTAGTTTACTTGTAGAGCACTGAAATTATTCCTCTTTCTTAAGGTTGAATGGTTTTATACTTAAATTTCAAAGAAATGTTTTGCAATGGGAAAAATACTGTTTTAGTCTCCACAGGTCATTCTAGTTTTTTTTCAAAATAATTAGCTGAAATCAGTTAAATGATCAGTCCAAAGCTTAAACCATCACCCTTTACGCAATGATCATCTTAACTGTAGCAGAGAGAGCATCAAGAAATTTGCTGACTGTTCCCGCGAACAATCTGAGATTTTTTCCAAAGTCAGGGAATTTTTAAAAAATGGGTCAGGGAAATTTTCTGAGAGATTTGAGAAGGGATTTTACTTGCCACCCTGTGTTCCCTTCTCTTTAACCACATTAGATCTCGTGTCGGTGGCCTATAATCCAAGTTTGTTCAATTTTTCAAAGGACAATATGGCCAACTTCACTGTCGCTGTACCATCCGGGCACCCTCAGCTACAAAGAGTCCCGGCCAGATGGGACCAGCTGCAGGAGTTCGGGCGGTATGTGGAGCAGCTGCAGAAGGATTACCTCAACCGCGACGGAGGCATGCTGGTGAGTTTAGTATTTTTTTTTTCCAACAAGTTATTACGTATAACTGAACCCAAATCCAGCGCACGGTATGCGAGATGAAACAGTTTTGTTACGTGAGAAAGAGACACGAAAAATTGAAATCATTACGAGACCTATGAATTCAGAACACATGGACTCTAAGAATTGCTGCGGCAGATTTCAATAGTACACTTCCTTAGAGCAGGAAAAACATTTGCATATGGTTATAATGTTTCTTTCTCTTTGTATGAAGATTATTGAATGGAAATTATAACAAATCCAATCAAGAAAGAAACCTTTTAGTAAATTAAATTTCAATATTTGATTCCAAACACCACATCGAAGAAGCTACTCTCTGTTTCAAGCAAAAACTTGCAGATGCTTACAAATAAGTGGAATGGAACCATGCACTTTTTGTACTCCTTTGTTTAATCTTACCCTGGTACGTGTTTTTATCTTTTTCTGATTCCACGTTTCAGGTGAGATTTCCTTCGGAGGTGTTACAAGACCTGATGGAGGGTTTCGACAAGGAAAGAAAGAAAGCCTCAGACGTAAGAGTCGGAATCTTGCAGCAGGTGCGTTACTCTAAGGTTTTTGTATCATTTCCATTTTCAGACTAACGAAACAGGATGTGCAAAACTTGCAATCGTGTGACATCTTTTTTTTTGTAATTAAGAAAAAGATGATTAGGATGCGAAACGCGTCCTCAATTGCCAGATCGCTGGACAGTCAAAACTAGTGTCGCCTCAAACAAACTCTTTATAGTAATCCGCATCATAGACATACAGTATTGGCTGGACTTGACCAGAAAAGCACTATCCCCTTTTAACCCCAATGGACTGTTGATTCGGTAGCAATACTAACCCAATTCACTTTCGTGAAAGATGATTGGTCGGGCTTTTTAAGCCGAAAACTTTTGAACAAATAACCATCTTCTTACTGTGCTTTCGCGCGATCATGCCATTTTGTTTCGCCTAAAGTAGAAAAGATCTCGTTTTGGTCTTTGACTTTATGCAAACTTGATGTGACCCAAAAAAAATAGCAAAATTATGTTTTTTACAAATTTATCCAATCATAATTGACAGAGTTTAATTGCAAGTAATCATTCTTCTAAAGCCTCAAGAACCATGTCATCAAATGTTGCTCAATGGACCAAAAAGCGCTTTCAAACTGAAAGCTGAGTTTGGGAGCCTGCAAGTAAAGTGACATCACGTTAGCACCTGCAGCCTATTAGTAAATGCACAATTAGTATAATGCATAATTCGACGCATAAATGTGACTGTCCCTCAATGCGCCAATAAATTCGATCTTTCTTAAATATTTCTAATGTAAATTTTCTTTTCAACATGAAGCAGGAATTTTTTTTATTCTAACTTCTTTGCTTTCTTCCAGAATTTTCAACCGGTTCCGAGGGAGGAGAATTGCTTCCACCATTACGTCGAAGAGGTCGAGCCGATGACGCTGTCGGGATACTCGACATACTGTGCGCAACAGGCGTACAGCGGGCGGATGGAGCTACACGAGATGAAGGAGGACTACTTCCGACGCCTCGCAACCTTTGACATTGGTACGCCTGGTGTCAAATACGGTGCTGACCAGGCGAACACGGACCTGTTCAAGTGCACATCCGTAAGTATTTCTAATTTATCATCAAAGAATCACTTTATACTTGACCCACGGAAATGTTTTCAACCATTTTTGGTGGAGCGGACTCAAAAGAATGTAAATAGCATTTTCCACTTTAACAATGAGCACTCTGAAACCCTCACGAACTAATTACGATAGTTTGCCCAGATGAGAGTGACGCAACTATTCCACTCGAAGCCGTAAACAGAGGAAGCTCATGTGTAAAGTTTTCAAAAAATGGTCAAAAATCCTTAGAAGAACTCTAAAGTCCTTGATTTTTTGCTGCAAAGGTACCGCGAAAAGTCCAAATGTACTTGCTATTCTTTTTTCATATCAGTCGATGGCGAGTAAGCGTTGAGTGTCACTAACTGTAGGCTGGGGACACTGTGGGGTTCTTGTAAACAAAAAACCACTTTCGAATAGCTGGTTATTGAGTAGATTATTTTAATTAAAAAATTACTTATTTGAAATAAATTTAAATCTTTAATAAATAATGAACACATTTAAATTCCTTTACCATGAAAAATTATTCTTGGGGCAGCCGACTGATTATCAATGGTATATATTTTCCGTGACTCTAGGTTTTTGAGCTGAACGATGTGCACACTATACTCAAGGGCACAAGTCTGGAAGAAGTCCCAGGGCTCGTGAGGAAGTACGGGTACTTCGGGTGTTACGGCTCCAGTTTCGCAGCCCACGTGTGGAGAATGCACTTCTATACAGCGCCAACCTCCACATGTACGGGTGGCCAAAGTTGTGGTGAGTAAAAGCTTAAACTTATTTGATGAAGAGCTTTCGTCGTTATTCATGGGTTTAAACTTTGTGCAGGTCCGAAAACTATGGTAAAAGATTATTTTTTTCCAGTTCAGCACTTACGTAGGGTCAAGTGGGGTAATTGTAAACATATTTCGACTTCTTGAGTTAGTTTCAATCACCAAACAGATAAAAATTCAGATTAAAAAATGGTGATTGAAGACTGAAAGTTAATTTAAAAGCTTTAAGATAACTTTCTGTCAATTTTCAAACCATTTGAAACATTTTCCAAGTGTTTTACAAGCTGTTTACATTTACCCCTTCATGTTTACAATTGCCCCGCAATGTGTCCTTTTCATGAAGTTTACAATTACTCCAAACACGTAAAAAGTGGTGTAATTGTAAATCCCCCCTCAAAATTCAAGGTGGATTTCAAAACATTCTAGAAAAATAAGAACCCCTTAGTTTATACCCTTACTACCTGAAAGAAACTTTTTCAGATTTAATAATGGGGTTTAACATAAGTTACTTTTTTTTGAAGTATTCCTGAGATATGTTCATTTTAGGATTCACTTTTTCAAAGACCTTTTTTTGGAGTCACTTATTACTTTCAGTCAAAACGTATACTTAACAAAAATTTTCAATGCAATCCAAAAGTTCTTAAGATGATTCAAGTGATGAAAGATGGATCTTTACTGAAGAAAATGAGAAAATGAAGGTACTGTTGTAGTGTTATTATCTAGTGAGATCAACATAAGTCTAAAACAAAAGTATGACGTACAGCATCGCATAGCAAGAAATTTACGAGTACCCGGACTCCCCCCCCCCCCCATCGGCTTGGTACCTGCTGCTTACAACACCGAATTATTATCTAGTGATTATGAGTGGCTCCAATGATATATTGAGTAATGAGACAGGTAATACTTAAACACTTTTTCAAAAGATGAACCTAAGTGTTTTGGAAGAAACTGCTATTCCATGCCACTTGAAATTAGTTGAGGTACCTCCAATGTGGGCGAATGGAAAAGCAAAAACACAATAGTGTATTTTTCCATCGGAAAATACACTAGTAGTTCGAAACATAAACAAAAGATTATTTCGCTACTTTGGGAAGAAGAAGAATATCTTGATTTTGCGTCACATCGTAGGTAGTACTTCTTACATCGCTTTCATTTGAACAACCGCGGCAAAAGGTCTCTCGCTGAGAGGCAGCGGAGCGTAATTCTAGAGCAATGGCATGAAAGCACTGAGCAAGAGAAGAGCCTGTTGAAAGGAACCAGGCTACGCAAAGTCCCATGAAAAAATTTTACTATACCTCTTATCTTCACAGTGACATCAACATGTAATGAGTGGGATAGGAGATAATTGGTGAGATTTTTTCACCTCCCTCCCCAAAAATCTAGTAGATACCGAATCAAGAGCAGAGAACGCCCAGCGCCAACCATGAAATTGGAGGGCAGAGCTTTTAAAGCAGTATTCCCAGGTCCAGTTAATGTCATAGAAAAGCATTAGCTGAAAATCCATTTACATTAACATGTATTTCCTCTTTTTTACTTAAAAGCTAGGTTTCAGTCAAAGATATCCAGGTTCACGTGTTCAAAATCCATTTTTTGAAATTTATGTTGGTTTGTTCACTTACTTATTTATTTGTTTATTTACTTATTTGTTTTTTTATTCATTTATTTGCTCATTTGCTTTAAGATTTTTGTTTTAATTTTTGACTAAGTTCCTAAGTTGCTATTAACCATATATCTTGAGAAGAATATCTTGATTTTGCGACACAATGTAGGTAGCACCTCTTGGACACAACCCGATGGCATTCATGTCAACTACCGCGGCAAAAGGTCTCTCACTGAGAGACTGCGAAGCGTAATTCTGGAGCAATGGCATGAAACTTTTTGCCATTTTCCCGATGTTTATCTGACTCATTTCGAGTTGAAAAGTTTTTGGGTTTCCTTTAGTCTATTTTCAAAAATTATTATATATTGGAAGTAGGTATTTATTTGTAGACCATTTTAGCAGCTCGAGTAATTCAGATGATGGCAAAAGGAAGGTGCTCAAACCGAGAAGATATAGCTCTACAACAGACTCCGAATGCGTAAATCAACCTAAAAAAAAATCACGGAAATCCCCTGCAAAAACACCACAAGCAATTTCTCAGGGAGCTTTACCCTTTTTCCCTGATGTACCGCAAACCTCATTTAAGAAGGAACATCGCCCACCTCTTACTAACCTAAGTTCCTATATTCCAACGAGACCTGCCCCTATGAATTCCACCGTAAATTCTGAAGATGCTGTTAATGTAGAAGTCATTATACCTGAAATTAATTTGTTTTGTGACGCACAAAACACCGAGTTAGAGAATGTAGCTGAAATAGATGATGATGAGATGAACATGGATTTTGACCTCTACGATGAGTTTGCGTCTCAAAATTTCAGAAACGGCAACGTTACAACAAATTCTCTCGCTTCCGCAGTCTCTTGAAGAGTCAATTAACAATCAGGAAACGCCTGAAGGTCTAGTTTCACAACAGCATGATCCTGAACAACCAGTTATTGTACAACCTCCTCCTGAACGGCCCTCTGACTAATTTGTTGGTCTTAATGAATGGTCATACTCAAGTGTCCCCGACGCCCAAGGAAAGGATGTGCGAGCTTCCGCAGGGATCCTATCGGAGGAAGAAGTTCAAGAGCTTTACAAACTAAATGCTCAGCAGCTGATGATCGAAATGAAAGGTAAGTCTGTTTAAACTCAATCCATTACGAGTATTAATGCTGCACTTGGCAGCCATGGTAATTGGGAGTAAATGCAAAGGCTGCACCCAATTTTTGTTCTCAGAAGGTTTTCCCTCTCCCGCCGCATACATACAGCAAATGAACCTATCGTGGTGGACATACTGCCTGAACCGATTAAATCCTCCAACCATGAGAATAATCATGCCCAGTTTTTAGATTTCAGGAAATCAAGTACAAATTTTTAGCCCTAAAAGGCTTCTGATATGGAAGATTCCTCGAGCACTACTGACAGCGATGGATCGCCAGATGCGATGGCAAAGAAGGCCCCTGTTTTTACAGAAAATTCTCATGTTATCGTTTGCTACGAGGGGGAATATTTCCCATGTTTAGTTGTCAGCAAGAAGGAAGAAAAAGGATATATACATATATCTCTCTCTCTTAAGTAATTGTTCTGAAATTTTGTCTAACAAAGTTTTACCTCATGTTCTTAGAACATGCCCTCCCAACATTCGAAGACTTTAATATAGAATTCCAAAGTGAAAAACCAAGGATCTACCTATTGTAAAGCCGAATTGAAACAATTTTGAAAAAAATTATGGGGTATTATACCAAACCCGAATACTTACGCTACACAGAAATCAAAGATGTTAAGTACAGTGATCCACATTTTTTCCTCCCATTAGAAGAAATTTACCTAGGTAGCCAAGTTCTAGCAGCCCTTCCTGTGACACACCTGGAGGAAAATCAGGTGAAAAGACTTCGTGTTGACAGCCAGAATTTCTATGTTGCGGCTGTTTCGGAGCTTCTCCGCGAATTCCCAATCGGCAATCTCCAAGGTCTAAAAACGCTGAATTTAATGAATCCCTACTTATTAGTCAAACCATCTGAAAAGAAAACCACCAAGTCAACAGAAAAATTGCTAGAGCTTCCACCACCACCTGCTTCAATTGCGCTTCGCTCCCACATTTCCCCAAATTCATTAAAGAGGATGATTACAATGTTGTTGATGAAGAGTAGCGAGAATTTGTCAGCTTCTCCTATGAAAAAGATTAGCAGGTTTCTTATAAAGACCTTAAATTCAAACATTTCTGGCGAAAAGTAAGCAAAGCAAAGAGAGGCGATGAGTCACTGTGTTTCTTTAATTTATGGAAATGCATCCGGAATCTCTGTCTTATACTTCACTCAAGTGTTTCTGTAGAACAAGAGTTTTCAACGTTTAAACTAATTTTCACTGATCGAAGGAACAGGTTGAAAACAAAGACAGTTGCAGGGCTCATGCATGGTAAAACAGATGTCGAAACCTGCTATGATTTCAAACCGGCCAACAAACACCGCCAGCTCTTTAATCAGTATATGTATGTATGACCATGCCAATTTTCACTGATCGAAGGAACAGGTTGAAAACAAAGACAGTTGCAGGGCTCATGCATGGTAAAACAGATGTGAAAACCTGCTATGACTTCAAACCGGCCAACAAACACCGCCAGCTCTTTAAATCAGTACATGTATGACCCTGCCTGCAAGTCAGAGACAGATGACTCGAGTGGTGACGATGATGTTTCCTCAATTTTCCGTCAACCAGTCAGGTCTAGGTTCCATCAGGTCTGTCAACTTTATAGTTTATAGTTTCAAATAGCAATTTCCCACATAAGACTGTCCACACTTTTCTAAGATTTCTTCCCTGATATGATTGAACTTTCAATTTAATTAGTTTCCAATTCTAGTTGCTCTTTATCTAGTTTTGTAAGAATCATGAAAACGTACCAGTTCTGGTAACACCTCAATTAAAGAAAAATATTGAATTAATCATTAAATGTGGGCTAAGTTTCCTTACTCCTAACTCAGAGCTTCGTCTGTTCCCTCGAGTTTTGGCAGTAAAACCTTTTTGTGGCACAACAATAATTCGAGAATTTCGGAATTTGATAAAATTACAGAAACCTCAGTGTTATACTGCGACCGCTATGCGGCATCAAATGGCGACAAAATCAACTCTCCAAATGAATCCCTTCATTTCTTTTGTGCTGCATACAGTCTCTTCAATTGGCTTTAATTCTGTGTTTTTTTTGGTGTGAGCTATAATTTCAAAGCTCAATTTGTCAACATAAATGTACTCAGAGTAAAGTAAGCAAAGCAAAGCGAGTCGATGAGTCAATGTGTTTCTTTAATTTATGGAAATGCATCCGGAATCTCTGTCTTATCCTTCCCTCAAGTGCTTCTGCAGAACGAGAGTTTTCAACGTTTAAACTAATTTTCACTGATCGAAGGAACAGGTTGAATACAAAGACAGTTGCAGGGCTCATGCATGGTAAAACAGATGTGAAAACCTGCTATGACTTCAAACCGGCCAACAAACACCGCCAGCTCTTTAATCAGTTAAAAGGAAAAAAACCATCTGGGTAATGGCCGACGAGTTCACAAAAAATGTGGGGAGCAAACTCCATAGTGAGGTCTTTAGGTATGGATTGAATGTGATAGTTGAATACAATGATGAGGCTAAAATGAAGGATTGGGGGAGGTACTGGTTAGATAAGAGAGGGTTGATGAAAGAGGGGGATATAGTCATTTTCGCAGCAGGTAGGAAGGATGTTTTTTCAAATGAGGGGCAGAGTGTTGTGGATGGTGTGAATGATCTTAGGGCAGAGGCCAAAAACATGGGGGTGTTATGACTGGCGACTCCTCAACATTGTAAAAGAACTATTGGACGCCCTTCCCCCCCCCCCAAGAACAATTACTAGGAAAGATTAGTTAATTTATTGAAGAGCTTCTCCGAATACCTTAATGGCCGTACACTGAGAAAAAGCTATGGTTTATAAACCTATTAGAGGTAAATATGGAACACCTATAATAGTCGTAAATAAACTAATGATTCTCGGTCTGTGAACCATACTAAGGTCTCTGTACCTAATTAAGGTACAGAGACCATAACTAAGGTATATGTGCTATTAT